AATAGTTTGGACACGCACAGAGGAAGCGCATAAAATATAATATTATATATATATATTTCCGTTTAACGGCTGTTTTGTGCTGCCATCGGCCGTAAACGGGGGAATAATTAGCCTTTAGCCGTTAGCTGTTAGCCTTTTGTTGTTATTATGTCAGGAGAAGAAGGAAACCTAATGGGCCAACGCAATTTTGATTTTAAAAGATGGCCATGCGTGCATGCCTAATGTGCCAAGGTCCTTGAGCCGTTCGGTGTGGCCAAATTGCCTCACACTTGCACACCATATTCCACTTCCACTAAATAACTATAATTTTTAACGCCTTTTATGGAGCCAAAGAAACTCTGAGAATGTGAGCAAACAAAGCCAGGATTCAAAGCGTCAGCTAAAAGGACAACAAAAGATTGGTTTCCTTGGTAGATTATAAGGTGTACCCAGTGTTGGTTGAGTAAGAGAGTATGAAGGATTTCTTAAAATTTAATAGTTTTATAATTAATTTTGTCAAAAGAATGTATTTTAAATTTGAACACAACGGAATTTCAAAATGAAAGATTTCATATTCATATTTGTATAAATTTCAATAAACTTTTGTTGTTATCTATAATTAAAAACATTTTCAAACTGAATTTCAATTTATTTCAAGATTTTTATAGTTATAATATTTAAATCCTTTACTTGGGTATTTTCTAGTTTAAACCTTTTTATATATAATATTTTTACCTGTATTTAATGTGCATTGTACCACGGATATTCGGTCATGGCTTTAGGATTTCCCTTCCCTTACATCACCATTTCGGTCGGTCTCCACCTGAGTTTCCCTTTTAATTTCTTGAAAAGGTTTTCTTCCCTTTTGTTGTTCTTGCTTATTACGCATCGCACAAAGGCGAATATTGAGTGGAATGAGTTGAAAAGCAGCCGAACGAACTACTGGCTGCCTTTAGCTCGCTTCTTTTATATGAATTACAATAATAAAGAAAAAGGAAAATGCGAGGGGAAAACGCATATCAAAAGTTCGGGGCCAAGGCAGCCAAATAAAATCATAAAAATTACAAAAGGTAAAAATGGTGGAAAGCAGACACAAGACAGCAGCAGCTCACGAAATGCGTTCAAGAAAAATCACCGTAATAAAGCCAAGCGTCTGGGGTGTATGTATGTGTGTGTGTTGCAAATAAAACAATTTGAGTGGAAATAAAAAATAAAACAACCTGAAGCTGATGGGTTACGAAAAAGAGAGAGACAGAGAGAGAGAGAGAGAGAAAGAGGGTTGGGCGCTTAACACAATCCTTTGTAGCAGCAGGAGCAGCAGTAGCACCAGCAAGGATTCTCAGATTCTCAGACAGACAGACAAACATTACTCGGCAAACAATGCGTTGTCCTCCTCATCGCAGAGTAAAACACAGCTTAAATTATTAATAAGAAAGCATAAGAAAAACAAATGCGAGTGTATGCTGCCGGGCAACAGAAGAAAAAGGAGCCAGCAAGATAAAGACGCTGCCAAAAATGGAGGAAATACTATATGCACAAAGGGAAATAATTATAAATTTAAAAAAATATATATATTAAAAAGCATATAAATTAAAAATATTTCAATAGAAAATAGTAAAGATTAACACAAAAAAAAAAACAATAAGTATTCCGCACTATAATCTCTTTAAACCTTAGCTTGCAAAAACTATTGCCTACTTATTGGGGCCTTTACTATTTTGATTCTTATTCATCTCTCTTTTCACTCTTATTTCTTTTATCTGGTTTCTATATATCAATATTCAACATATTTTCTGTGTAAATCAAATTCTGCTTCTATGATTTTTCTGGGTGTAATTTCACTACAACAAGAAAAACATGAGGTATGAAATCATTTCCTGTCTCGGTCACCGGTTTCTGCCCTCTGTCTTGTCCTTTAAGTTCGCGGTGCAATGGTCGGAATAGTGGGGTCAGTGGGTGATGGGTGATGGGTGGGCTCATCATCACCATCTTGCAAGCTGGCAAAGGGAATACCTGAGCACACCTGAGTGGCTCTGCCGGACACAAACTGTTCGCTGCTACTGAAGAAGGGATGGCGGAAGTCCTTAAGCTTGAAGGCCTTTGAACCAAGTCAAGTCGGCTAAAAAGATTTGTTTATGTGTTCTAATCCGTAACTAAATTTTCAAAAGGAAAATAGTTTGGGCATGGCACAGATAAATGATAAGGACAAAAATCAAAGATAGAAACTAGAACATAAATTATTAAGTAATTAAGTAATCCCTAATGAAATAGTTTATAGTTTTATTTCTTTACCAGAAATTTTACTGACCATTTCAAGCTTTACAAACTAAATTAAATTCTTAAAAAAAAAAGAAAAAAAAAAAAGAAACAAAAAAGAAGAAACCTCTCGTATTCTGCCCCATAAAATACAGATTTTTTTTTTCTGTTTTCATTGTCTTGTGCATTTCTTTGTTATTAAATATTATTTTTGCCAGCCTCACCTTTACACGATATTTTTTAAACGCCTTTTTTATGGCCTATGAAGATGGCCAACCTCTTCGCCTCCCCTCTTGTTTTGGTGGCCATCCCCTTGTGATTTATGCCGCGCGGTCAAGTGTAAGTTCCACCGCTGGCATCACGGGACAGGAAATTGGGTTTAACGGCGGCGGCAGTCAGCGGGATCCTGGCAGCTCGTTTAATTTCAGTCATTTTTTTTTATTCCTTTCTTTTTTTGTTCCGCCCTCCGACGTTTTATTAAATATATATATCCTCCCTTTTCCCCCTCTCACAGTTACCTTTTTTTATGAACTGGTTATCAGCGGACTACTTTGCGTGTTGCGATTTGCCTTAATTAGTCGGGATATTAACCGAATTGAGCCGGGTTGGTTTTCATAATTGTGAAAGCCTGTCAGCGGTTAAGCTGCAGTGGCATTTTTCTCTGCTTTTTTCTGTTTGTTAATAAATCACAATTTATTGGCTACTCATTAACCTTTGAGCTGGATGGATAATGAAAGAATGCAAATGAAGGGACACGACACTCTGTGATTGTTTTTTAATCGCCATGTGCTGAGTTTCGCTATTGGGAAATTGTTGGAAAATAATGAGAGGAGAGTGTCAGTTGCACCACAACATATTTTTCCTGCATATTTGGCTCAATTATTTTTCGAATTTCTCTGTTTGTCGCACAAATTGTTTTGACAATATCCCATTCCGAAAGACACCGCACAAAGGAAATCCCGGACATAAAGCAAATTTTGTATTTTGTCCTTTTGAAGTGACAAACACTTTTGCTTATATCTGTTTGTGGGTTTGTGGGCAGAAACCATTTAATTTTCGCAAAAAGCCCTGAGAATAATGTGTACTGCAGGCTGTGTGTCATTTATAAAACTGTCAAGGAAAATAAAGAAGTAGATGGGTTGCTAAATTAAAAGAGCATTTTGTTAAGGCTATTCATATTTGATTTCTTTTAAATTCAAATATAAATAAATTAAATACATCTTATACGTATCAATTTATATATTTTAAAGAGGTACTATCTATAATTTAGCCTTTCTATAAGGAACAATATTTAATTTTCCGTAAAGGAAATATTTTCCTGTCGGCTGTGTGTCATTTATTAAACAACAGCTGACTAAGAACCAAAAGGGGGAACAAATTAAAAGCGCATTTATATTGGTTAAGCCTTGGAGTTGCGAGTTTTATTTATACTTTTGTCTTTTTCTTTACTTTTTTTTCGTTCCGATTGCAGGACTTGTTTTTTAAAGGACTTCACCCCCGCTAACGAGCGTCCATTATGCAAACAATAAGCACAAGCTTCCTTTTCAGATAACAAACCAACCCACAAACAAATGGAAATGGAACGAAACGCATGAAAATATCCTTTTTGGGGGGAAAAATATTGCGCATACGCCACGCATCCTGCGAGTGGCTTTCATTCAAAAATAGATTTATGTATGGCATTTAAACTGGGGGGGCGGGACAGAGAGCGAGGAGACAACAAACAAAAAGTAACCACAACAAAATATACAAAAAGGGACACCATCCAAACAAAATCAAGAAAAATGTTCTACAGCATTTATCAAACGTGATGCCATCGCAAATTCGTGGGAATGTTTGAAACTCTGCTCCGTATTTTCTTCAACGAAAAACTGCTTGACATCATTATTCTTCAACAATGTGCACTGCATTTTGGTATCATTAAAATGTGATCACTTCGCATTAAAGCTGTAGTCAAATGAGGGGCGGGAAAGGAGGCAGGAGGTGTGGCACCATCTTGAGGCAGCAACAACACCGATTTGATTTAGTGCCGCACATTATTTCACGTAAATATCTGAGTTTGTTGTAGGGCTGTGCCTTCATGGATGTACGAATATGTATGTATATATATATGTTTTGCAATAATGTCAACAATAGACCCAAGCTCTTTGACATGTGTGTTCAGGGAGAGAAAATGTTCCAAGTTTTAAATGGGGAAAGAATGAGAAAATTAATAACTATTTCGTAACAAACAAATGGCTTAAAAACAAGAATCTGTTCTTATCAATTTTGAGTAATAGCAGGGATAAAGTTACTACATCTATTTTAAGAATTGAATTAAAAATACTTCAAACTTTAAAAGTTTAATTACAAAATTGGCAACGATTTACAAGGAGTAAATATTAATTTCTGAATTAAAATCTTGACAAAATCAATATTACTTTGTTATTAATCCCACTGAAACATTTTACAAATTTCAAAATGAAAAACTACCAATATTTTTTTTCGCAGTGCTCTTGTGCTCCAGTTTTGACTGGCAACATTTACATTTAGCATTTTGCCCCACTTGTTGACTTTCTGCCAGCGGGTTCCAACATCCCGTCGATTTGCATGATTTTCGCATTTATGCGCTTAATTTACTATTTAATAATAGCAAGCAAACAAATGTTTAAATGGAGACCAGGTTGTGTTTGTTATAAAAAAAGGATATATGCATATTTACAAAGCAGACAGGGATAATGGATAATGGTTAAATGTAGTAATAAGCGTTTGGTATATAAACTTACCTTGACTCCAATATGAACCGGTGCAAATTCTGGTTTGTGTATTGAAGGAATCGGTATCGGTAATTGCATGGGAAGGGGGCAGGACATCATGGTCGCTACCTGTGAATGCAAACAGAGAGACAGAGATTTGTTAGTTGGATTTGGATTGGCATATTATGAAGGAAGGTGAGAGTATGAAAGGTGAGCTCTTATCAGCTTCAATTAACTAATTAATGAATTTACTAATTAAACCCTTTCAACTTTTGTTCAATACAAATAAGGAAGGAAGCGGAATTCTTTAGTAAACTATTTTCTTTGATATTTATTTCACTTAAAACAGCATTTAAAATTCACATTTAAATTTCAATACTATAATAAAAAGCTGCTGCCTTCTTTGCATTAAATACATTGTTTCTGTTTTTTAAGATACCGTTATAAAAGTTTATTTTAGAGAGAAGCCATTACTTAAGACAACAAAACACTTGGAATTATATTCCGGCAAACAAAAAAAAAAAAAAAGGACATGCAATTGAGAAACTTTATCAAATGTGTGCACACAATTTATTTGCAAAAGCATCTTTAATCCCTTTTAATAAACAACTTTGAGTAGTTGCCATACAAACAGTTTATTGTTTACTGAAGGACAACGATTCGTTTAAACTTTTTTAGTTTTCTTCATTTTATTTTTGAATATAAAACTTTTAAGGAGATTTAAGGACTGAAACGTAAGCAAATATAATTGATTTAAAAGACAACACAAGACTACAAAATAAAGTCCAAGTCAAACGGACAATTGAGTATCAAACTGTAAAATTGATTTTTATTCTTAATCCTTTGTGTGGTAAATACAAAATAAATCTTAATAAAAACAAGCAGATTGAGTCTGGCTGATAACCAAATCAATGCCACATCTGCTGCTGCCTTTTTTCCCCTCTGACATATAAACCCTTTTATTTTCCTTCCATTTTTTTTTACCACTTTCCCAGCAGTTTCTCAATTCACCGTTGGCATTGCAATTTTTCGCCTTTTCAATTTCGCGCGTTTTAATGGCAGCCAACAACAGGAATCGTTTCCCTCGTTTTCCCTCCCTCCGGACACATCCTTTCTCCTTGATGAACACACACACACACACACATAGGAATCACGACCGCATTGCATTTCATTTCATTCGATGGGTGGCAAAGGGGGCGAAGGAAAACCCATAGAGGGGAGGGGTGGGCGTGACCAGCGTTTCATTTGGCGCCCATCATCATTGTCATTTCCGCTTTTGCGTAACGATGTCAACGTTTTTGATGGCTTCATTTCGTTGCAACGCTGCACTTTGCTTTTCGTTTTCAGTTTCGTTTTGGGCGGCAAATAAATCATAACCCAGCCTCCTTTCCCATTCCCCCCCTCTTGTCGCAGCCATTGCGCCTTTCTTTCCGACCAATAAAAACTTTTCGACTTTGTCATAATACGAGCAAAAAAAAAGAAAGAGAATAAAAAGCTGCGAGAATAAAGAGCAGCGGAAAATAGTGGCAAGAGAACAGCAACAACAAATACAAAGTAAATCAGTAGTGAAGAAAGGCCAAGAGAGTGTAACTGAGATATAGGAACACTAAGAAGAAAACCTATTTAATAATAAAATATAATATAATATAATACAATATAAACAACAATAGCTAAAAATAATAATGAGAAGGTCCCAGAGAGAAGCTAAAATCCTTTCTCGTTCGGTACTAAGTGAAACATATCAACTCTCTTTCTCACTTTGTTGTACTTTGCAGGCAAAGCATTTGGAGAATTGAAAGGAGTATTTAAATTCTTCTTAAAAAAAAAGAGTGATTACCTTTACTATCACATATCTCTTTAATTTTATTAACCATCATTTGATCACATTATCAAGCATAAATTTTTCCAAATTCTCTCTCTACCAAAATATCACATTTCTAATCAAAATCTTCACAAATTTTTCTTTGCAGTGCAAGGGAAATTGTTGAAAATTAAAATGGCATGACAAAGTGGCGAATGTTGTCAAAACTTTTGCATTGGCATAGCATTTTTGGGCAAAGCAAGGCAACCGGCAGCCAACAAGAAAACGGACAATGTGTTATGGCCAAGACGGGTAGGAGAGGGACACGAACACGCACAGTGAGCGTCATAAAAATAGTTGCATGCCCGCGCAGCACACACTCTTCCGACAGTATTTCAATTTCCGGCCTCGATTTTAGTGCGGCAACTGCTTCTGGTTTTGTTTGTCTGCGCCGGCCTTCCTTTAGAAACCCTTAGTGCCGCCCCCTCCCACCGAAAGCAATTTGTGTTCAACTAAGAAAATTTTTTGGGAAAAACATTTAAGCAAACAATTTTCCTATCGCATTACACTTGTCAGCAAACGAGCTTCCCCCCTTTTATTTCTCTCTCACAACTTGGGAGGTCCCAGGCAGGGGCACGTGTTTTCGGTTTTGTTTCTCTGCCCCAGCAATCAATGAGTTGTCAATGGCATCGATTACCGAAGACAACTTATTCTAGGCATCATAACAAAACTATTTATGTCACACTTTGACTCGGTAGCAAGTCAACTACACTGACAGAAATAATGTTTATGTATTTAGAAATAGGAAAATTGAAATATAAGCAGCAAATAGGGTAAAAGAGTCACAATAAATGGTCTTAGAATTCCCAAGTAGTAATTCAGTTGCAAACTGTTGAAGAAAAATGTCCGAAAAGTAAGTAATGATAATGATAATCCTTGACTACAAATTAAAACTATAAAAATATTTCAAAACTCTTTAGAACATATATATTTATGAAACACAACACATAGGAAATTCAACTCTGAGACCCTCCTTAACTTATTTTGTTTATTTTTAAACTATCTCCAAAACAAAAAATTTTAAAATTTATATAAAATTTTAGTTTAAACCATAACCAAAAGTGATAATATTTATTTCAAGTGTATCCCTGCCTCCTCCATCACCTTCCGTTTCACTGACTGTCACCCGGCTGTCAGTTTGTTTACGCATTTCACAGCAAATTGCTTTAAGTGCTACAAAAGTGTCATTTACATGGGCAGCATGGCAAACTAATTAATAGAATTTCAACTCTTTTTAGCATGTTTTTTAATATCTCTTTTTTGTTTTGTGTTTTACTTAATGTTGTTAATGTTGGCTGCAGAAGCAGGAGAGTTGGCAGTCGTCATCATTATCAAAAGTAGTGGCAAAGTGCAACAGAGCATGGCTTGGCTTGCATTTTAATGACGACAACAAACGGAAATTGACGTTGCCTGACTGACTTTTTCAACATTGTTGCCGGCTTTTTATACGCTGACACGCGACACAACAACGGGAATTGGCGAAAGGAGAAAGGGGAGAATGTCCGAAAGCGGAGAAACGGAGAATTGAGAAAAGAGAAACGAGAGTGGTATAAGGAACTTCTCTATCAGACCAATCAGCATGTGGCTGCCATATGGACGCTGTGTTCTTGCAATAAATGTCCAACTGTTCAACATTTACACTTAAAATTTACTTTAAGATATTGGGTATATAAAATCTCAAAGAAAATATCTTTAAAATACCTTTAAACTTTGGTGTTTCCTACACTGTATTACTCTCTTTAAAATCACGAAGTTACCCTGCTTTTTTCTGAGTGTTTCTCTTGTTCCCCCATCTCTTGCCTCTTCATCAGGGACATTGATGCATGACTCGAGCCGTCTTTAGTCGCCCTGCCACGCCCTCGTCCTGTCGCAATGCTACACCCATTGGACCGAACCGTCCACCCACGCGTTAATTTGTCCAGCTTCGTGGTGGGCACAACCATGGACCGGCCATTCGAGCAGGATAATAAATGTAATATGGCAGCAATGAGAGCGAAACGCCGTAACGGGACGGTTGCCATTGAAGCTGCATGCGCAATTAGGCCTGCGGGGATAAGGGGGAGGTCGAGCGAGGGTGGGAGGAAGGCAGGTAGGGCGGAAGCCCAACCGCCCACGAAAACAATGATTAATGAGCAGTTTGCAGCAACAACAATCATACATCATTCGCTTAAGTTCAGTTGAACGAAGTTGAAGGCCGAACCAGGCAGCCAGCAAACAGGCGAACCTATCACAATTGCAACCTGCAACAAGTTCATGGCATTTGTCGCTGACGTAGTCGTTGAAGTTGTTGCATTTTCCACTTCACTGGGCATGCGCGACGCATCTACACAGCTGCAGGGTATCAGGCCCAAAACAGCAACTCAACAACAACACCAACAACTCAACAACAACAACAACACCAACAACTCAACAACAACAACAACAACAACAGAAGCAAAAGCAATAACTGCAACTGCAACAGCTGTGCCAATCGTGCAGCAAATCAAGCGAACATTTTTGCACGGGGACATGCACTAAACAAAAATCTAAATGAAAATAAATGAACCATTTACTGTAAATGTATGGGAATACAATTTTTCGGAAAAAGGATCCAAGGTAAGTTCTCTCTCCAATGCAGAGCCTGCAATGTACAAGCCAAACGTGGAAAAACATCTTCTGAGAAAGTTAACTGAGAAATATTTAAATTTGCTCTTTTAATATAAAGTTATCTTACAGACAGGGAATTTAGGGTTTACCAAGAAAGCTTTGTATATTTTATCTCCAAGTAAAAGAAAATCAAAATACACAGCATTTTACTTCTTAGCACTAACTACTTAACCCTTCTAATGTTCTAACTTTCGGAACTTTTTCATTTCAGATGATCTCTTTGGTTTTTCCAAGTGCAAGTACTTGACGAAATAAAAGGGGGAGGGGATATAGCCGCGCCCCTGGCACTGATATTGCAGCAGAACAGCACAAACACAAAGGTGGCTGGTTAATGAACAGGTGGCTTTTTGCTCAGCCCGCTGGCCGCTGACTCAACTGAACTCAACTTGACGCCATTTGGCCAAGAGCATTGAACCTGGTCATGAGTACAATTACTTCCAATCAATTTGCATAATCAATGGAAGAATCTCTTAAATAGATAACAAAACACAATAAATCAACAGTCGATCTTTTTTGCTTTTTTGCGTTTGAATGATTAATTAATGAAGCAGTTTACCTGTTAAGTTTTTGTGTTGTTTTGTTTAGCTTTGTGGAGAATGTAGTGTTAGTAAAATAAACGGAA